GCGAGCGAGGGGGGCAGCTGCGATGAATGGCGATGTCAGGCGTTCTCCGCGCGCCGTCCGCGATTCCCCCTCCCCCCCTGGCAAAGGGAAGATGCTTCTCTCCGGCGTGCGGCTTGAATGGTATAAATGGGTAGGCGGCTACGCTCTGCCAGCCGCTGAGGGCTCTGCGGGCACCGTGATGGTTGCTGCTGCTGCTGCGAAACAGCTTCTTTCTCTCGGGGCTTGTTCTCTGGTTATGCAGCGCACATGACGGTGTAGTGGGTTACCCGGGAGTGTGATTTAAAAACAAAATCTGTTCGTGCGGGAATACAAAATGTGTGTACGCTGATTTTTTTTTTTCAAATCCTAAAACTTGGTCTAGATTTGACTCGACAGCGTTTTTTTTCTGACTGTCGCTGGTCGTAAAGCTGGAAATTTGGGGCTTGTTCTCTGGTTATGCAGCGCACATGACGGTGTAGTGGGTTACCCGGGAGTGTGATTTAAAAACAAAATCTGTTCGTGCGGGAATACAAAATGTGTGTACGCTGATTTTTTTTTTTCAAATCCTAAAACTTGGTCTAGATTTGACTCGACAGCGTTTTTTTTCTGACTGTCGCTGGTCGTAAAGCTGGAAATTTGTATCTGTTTCACTGGGGAAACTTTCTGTTTTGTGGCATTGCTTAAAAAGAAGTAGTAAGAAAAAGAGGGAGGTGGGCCAGGATCATTATTGCTAGTCTGTTCAAAAAACATCCATGGCTAATGTAAATACAGGTGCTAGCCTCGCCTGCTGTCCTAAAAGTTGCAGTAAAGCTATTTGTATTGTAATTATATCTACCTGTATTTTAAACTATATAATCTGTGCAATGGGACTTCAAAAAGTGGAGCGAGATAATCAAGTCATCCATTAATACTTACTATGCAATGTCTGTATGAGGAGCAAATCCTTTGCTCAGCTAAGGGGGAACATTCTCTGTGCCATCTGAGTTCTTCATAACTTCTCCCTGGGTGGGTCAATCAGTCTGAGTTGAGTGTGGGGGGGGTGTTTTCACTACTGACCTCTTTCACAAATCTTTGTATTAATCCTGTTTGGTTTATGTGCCGGCATCTGCTGTGGTTGGGAAAGGTTTGAGCTAGAGCACAGTGAAAACTAACCCAGTTGTCTGTTTCACTGCTACCTACATAGGTTTCAGACCCAGCAGGGAAAAAATTAACAAGATTTTCCCCTGGTTACACTTCTGCAAAGCTATTAACAGTAGGAAGACTACTGAAACTATCTGAAGACTTAAGATAACTTATGTAATCATCACCCTAGGAAAGCTTCCTGTTTTCCATATGTATATTTTATGTCCTGTACTTATCATTATTGTTTTGTTTTTTAGCCACCAAAAATCAACCTTAATATGGAAGATGAGGCACAACTTGTGACAATGAGAAGTAAGTTCCTGAACTTTACACTTAGAAACTTTTATTTTTTTTCAAAGTTTATGAGTTTGGAGGAGGTGTTTGAACAAACAGCTGCTCTCCTCACAAACTTACTTCATATATTACCCAAAGAATACCAGGCATTATTATACATACTTGTCTTCTAATTTGTTTGTAATCTATATGAAACAGAGGCCTGACATGCAGCAAAATCAGGCAGCTGAGCAAGCAGTAATAATCTGCAACACATTGGTAATTGTTTTTTACTTTCAATCTCCTTATAGTTACAGGGTATAAGTATAGTTAATTGGTCTCATGGAAGATATGCTGGACTAGGGAAGGGGAATGGGGCTACAAGTATGTAGGGCCTAATAGGAAAGATATGACCAGTTATGATGTGCTATAGAACCCCATGTATCTATTCTAAATGGGACTGGGCCATAACATCAGATAATCAAAACTCTGGATAAACCAGAGAAAAGGAAAATGTTATGCTGCAAGTACTATCTAGCCAGCCATAGGGGAAAGCACCTGTTTCTGGCCTTAGAGTTCTAGATTTTTTAAAATTTCATTATAGTCTTGGCTTTCACATCATCCCCTGGCCAGGAGTTCCACATGTAGACTGCATTGTGTGAAGTAATGTTTTCTTTTATTTGTTTTAAACTTGTTCGCTGTTTGTTTCATTTTGTGACCTCTAGTCATCACATTACAATAGGGAATAAGGAAGTGTTTTTATTCCTTTTCTCCGCACAATTCATGATTTTATGAATCTTCAAAATGTTCCTCCTAAGTCCTCTCTTTCTCAGGTTGTAAAATCTCAGTCTTAGTAATATTTCTTTTTATGGAAGCTCTTCCATATCCCTAATAATTTTTGTTGCTCTTATCTGTACCTTTTCCAGTGCTAATATATCTTTGAGATGGGGCAGCCAGAACTGCATGAAGTATTTCAGATGTGGGCATACCATGGATTTATATACTGACATTATGACATTTTCTGTTTTACTATCTATCCCTTTACTAATGATTCCCAAAATTCTGTTTACTTTTTTGACTGCTGTTGCACATTGAGTGGATGTTTTAAGAGAAGTATTCACACTGAATCCAAGATCTTTCTTGAGTGATAACAGTTAATTTACACCCCCCATCATTTTGTATGTGTAGTTGAGATTGTTTTCCAGAATGCATTACTTTGCATCAACACTGAATTTCAGTTGTCAGTTTGTTGCCTAGTCAGCTAGTTTTGTGAAATCCCTTGTAATTCTTTGCAGTCTGCTTTGGAGTCAACCATTTTGAGTTATTTTGTGTCATCTGTCAAATTTGCCACCTCACTATTACTCCTTTGTGTGTGTAGATCATTTATGAATATGTTGACCAGCAAATCCCAATACAGAGCCTTGATGCACAGCACTTTTTGTGTGTCTTCATTGTGGAAACTGACCATTTGTTCCTAACCTTGGTTTCCTATCGTTTAACCATTTCATTTCATTTAATCATTTTACCTATCTTTCATCCATGAGTGAACCTTTCCTCTTAGCCCATGACTGCTTAATTTGCTTAAGAACCTTTAATGGAGGATTTGTCGAAGGTTTTATGGAAATCTATATACACAGTAGTCATTGGATCACCTTTGTCCACATGTTTGCTGACCTCCCCTTCCGAGTGTTCTAATAGACTGATGTGATTTCTCTTTACAAAAGCCATGTTGACTCTTCCCCAACAAATTGTATTCATCTCACAATTCTGTTCTTTACTATAGTTTCTACTGATTTGCCTGATACTGAAGTTGCCTGTAATTGCAAGGATTGTTCCTTTTTTTTTAAATTGGCATCATGTTCGCTATCCTCCAGTCATCTGGTGCAGAAGTTGACTCGAGTGATCGGTTACATACCACAGTTAATAGTTATATAGTTTCATATTTGAGTTCCTTCAAAACTCTTGTGTGAATGCCATCTGAATCTGATGGCTTGTTACTGCTTAATTTATCAATTTGTTACCGAACCTCCTATCTTACACATCAGTCTGGGATGATTGCTCAGATTCATCACCTAAAAAGGTGTGGATGAAGACTGATGCAAAGAAATCATTTAGTTTATACACAGTGGCCTTATTTTCTTTGAGTGCTCCTTTAGAACCTTACTTGTCCAGTGGTACCACTGATTGTCTGACAGACTTCCTGCTTCTGGTGTACTTTTATGTATTTTATTTATTTTCTGGTAATTTAGTTTGATGCAGTCACGGGATCTCTGCCATTCTGTTATAAGGTACACAACCTTACAGGAAAGTAATGAGTAAAATACTGTGAAGAAGTCATGCAAACTACAGACACAGGTGTCTCATTAATACTGGAACATTTCCATTAAAAATCTTAATTTATTAAGTCGGATTTGGAGCAAGCATAGTCTTAACAGAATCAAGGTCAGAAATTGGTAGTTTAATAGTAAAAAATTAAGGAATATGAGAGACAAATTCTGTTATGAGTTACATGCCATGCAACTCAACTGAAGTCATTTGGCTTTGATGAATTTGGCCCATAGTTTTTTTTTGTTTTGTTTTAATGAAAATTCAGGTGCTCTTAGGCAGTGAAAACCAAAATGGAGTATGCCCTTTACTGGTACAATATTTGAAGCTTCTGAGCCATGGAGAGGACCAGGAAGAGTGCTTCCCCCTACAACCAAAATGGAGTATGCCCTTTACTGGTACAATATTTGAAGCTTCTGAGCCATAGAGAGGACCAGGAAGAGAGCTTCCCCCTACAAATTAGCAGCACTTTTTTTAGTTTTCATATAGAAAAGAAAGAATGTTCTGTTGAATAAGATAGGAGTTCTCTGTGGTCAATGTCTAAATTATCCTCTTCTTTCTGAAAGGGTTCAAAAACAGCTGGAGTTATTTTTTTTTTTAAGATTTTTGTTCCAGATGTCTTGATTAAATGAAATGGAAGAGCAAATTTGCCAGCAATTGAATTTCTCAGAAGTAAATTGTGGTGGTTGATATTCGTATAATTACAGCTGTTTGAAAACTGGGTGGCCTCATTTACTTTTTATTTTGTGAACTTGTTAAATGGCCCCCATGTGCAGACATAATAAACAGCTTTTAATTTTGTTTTATTTGGTAAGTGAGGAACCAGATGTCATAGATAAGTGGCATTCAGACACAGTCTTTAACCTCTTAGTTACAGGATTGTAATTAGCAACAGCACTATTTTTAAACAGAAACTATCATGATGGCTCTCTAGTAGCCTACCAATTTATAAAATTGTGTCCACATCACAATTGATATGCTTGTTGGAAGTCCAATGTCAAGAATTTAAAATGCATGGAGAGATCTTTTAACTTTCTCGATAGAACTTCCTCAAATTAAGTCTTATTGGATAGATGGCTTTCTTTACACCTTGTACTGATTATAGAACAAAGCTTCAACCTCCTGTGCTAATATAACACTTTCTATAAACACAGTATATTTGAACATTATGACAATGCTTTGAACAGATCTGCCTGCGTTAATACTAAATGATACAATGTCAAACCTTTACAGAAACTCTGAAAGTCACAAAGCCTCGTTTTGATGCATCCCTGGTTTACTTGACCCGAAAATTCATGGATCTTGTCAAAATTGCTCCAGATGGTGTTCTTGATTTGAATGAAGTAGCAACAACTCTAGGGGTACGAAAACGAAGAGTATATGACATCACCAATGTATTGGATGGAATCCACCTAATTAAGAAAAGATCTAAGAATCTTATCCAGTGGGTGTGAGTTGGCTTTGAAAATTTCTAACTTGCATTTGCAAAAATAGTTTGGATACTTTGAGAAATGTAGTTTTATTTAATTGTGAATCTGTTTTAGTTTCTGTAGTGTTTTCCATTAACTATCATAAATTCAATTTACAGCCTGTTAATTGCACTGTATAGATAATAGTCTGCAATTATAGGCTGCCTTTGTTAACTTTCTAGTGTCCGAAAATGAAGCAATTTTGAAGATTTTGTTTAACTGGCCAAAAATGGTAGTTTATAACCAAAAGCTTTCAATTCTTTAACTACGCTTTTTTTTTTTATAACCAAAAGCTTTCAATTCTTTAACTATACTTTTTTAAAAAAAGTTAGAAAATGTTTAAGTATTTTTATTCTACTAAACCCTGCATTTATAAATGTAAGCTACCTTCTTGATAATGTTAATATTCTTTTAGAGGATCTGATCTCGATCAGGTTGCTGGAAAGGCAACACAACAGCAAAGGCTTAGAGATGAACTTTCTGATCTTTCAACAATGGAAGAAGCTCTGGATGAATTAATTAAGGACTGTGCTCACCAATTGTTTGACTTAACAGATGACAAAGAAAACACAAAATATCCTTTTAATTGCTTCACAACTGACTTGGTCTAGTTGCACTTAGACCTGGCCTAAATGCTTACAGGCTACGCTAAAGGGGATGGTCCAATTCAGATATACAACTCGCTCCATGCTAATTACATAGCTGGAGTCAATGTACCTTGATTCAAGCTTCCACCTTGTTCCCACAGCAGGAAGCTGACGGAAGCAAATGCTTCTGTCAGCTTCCCTTATGAGCCGGAGTACCAGGTGACCAGCAGGAAGCTGATGGAAGCAAATGCTTCTGTCAGTTTCCCTTATGAGCCGGAGTACCTGGTGAAAATGGGGGCACCCTATGAATTTGATTGACCTTACTAGACCTGCTAAATTCAACTCTGGTAGATTGAGCATGGCAGTGGTGATCTTCCTCCAAGTGAAGACATGGCTTGAGTGAGGGCAAGTTTAGAATGGCAAGGAAGAGGTGAAATTTGTTGCTTTCTTCCCATGCTTTGTACATGGCAAGTAATAAAGTACTTGGAATTACTGTCCCAAAGAGACTTAAATTTGCAGGCATATGCCTATTTCATTAAACAGCAGAATATCAAAGCTAAAGGAACACTGTTTCTATAATAATTATGAATATTTACATATCATAATCATAAGGGAGGAATAGTTCAGTGGTTTGAGCATTGGCCTCCTAAACCCAAGGTTGTGAGTTCAATCCTTGAAGGGGCCATTTAAGGATCTGGGGTAAATCTGTCAGGGATGGTACTTGGTCCTGCCGTGATGGCAGGGGACTGGACTCGATGACCCTCTCAAGGTCCCTTCCAGTTCTGAGAAATAGGATAGGTAGTAGTCTTATCTCATAGGTAAGCTTTAATGAATGAAAACTAGTTCTGTAATTGAGATGAGTTAAATACCAAACACAAACACTGGGAATATGATTTAAGATTCCTCATTCTGTGCTTGCCTCTAGGCAGAGGGCTAACTAGAATAATATTCCTGTGCTTAAAGAAATTCATTTTCAGATAGTGATCAGTGAAATCTGTCCATTCCGTGAAAGTTATCAAATTAATTGTATCTCATGTTAACAGCCATGCCTCCTTAAAACAATTAACTTTATAGAATCCTTGACTAATGTATACACTAGCTTATGTGACATACCAAGATATTCATAGCATTAAGGCCTTCCAAGAACAGATTGTTATGGCGATCAAAGCTCCAGAGGAAACAAAACTAGAAGTGCCAGCTCCTAAAGAAGTAAGTATTCCTTTTCACTACTATAAGGCAACTACACTTTTAGATTAAGAGCAAGAGTTCTTGTACTGTGAGTCGCAGTCCTGTTTTATGGGGTCGCTAAGGCTGGCTTAAGACTTGCTGGAGTCTAGGGCTGAAACCTGAACCCTACCACCGGGGGACCAGTGTTCCTTCTAAAACATGGGTTCCCAAACTGGG